AAAGGAGCCTAGAAAAACATATAAACATGTCCACCCTAGCCCGCCTCAAAGATCTCAACTGCTGGTAGAGTGGAGAGACAATGGCATTTCAATATTTAACTACAGAAAGTACACTAGTTCCCAGACTAACATAATAATACTTAGTAATTATGTAGGTTCAATACTTGAAATTAGATTGTCATTAAAATACTTAAAATGATTAAAATATTTACGCAGCAAATGTTCTCTTGGTTTACCACTCTTATTTCCCTTATAACACTCAGTTATTGAGCCTAATGTATTCTTTGATAATACGAATTATGACACTGACTATGCTCTTATTATACATAGATTGATTTACTTTACGACTACCTGTAGTACTAACTACCCTTCTGTAGTATTGTTAACCAAATGCTGAAATTTTGTTGGTTCTGTTAATATCTTTTTATAATATATGTAGACAGGTTACTTTGCAATGTCAAATGATTACTATATATAAGACTGTCATGATAATTTAGTACACTAAGTCCTGCCAACCGACCTTACCTTCAGTTCATACTACCTACATTGATCCCTAACTATATTGTTCTGCTGAATCTTGCTCCACTATTCACAAAACCTATTCTTTTTATTCTTTAAGGTTTTAACTTCTTGTAAAGTAATCTGTTCATTAGGACGCATGCATACATATATAATGTTCATAAAGATGTACGCGGAGACCTATTGGAAGCACTCATTAAGAAAGCTAGGGAGATGGAATATGAGGTACGAACATGTCTGGTACCAAGCAATATATTTGCGGTAGCCATAATAATCATAGTCTCAGAGCCTAACATCAAAAAAGGAGGGAGGGTGGCGTTAGCTGATCAGTAGATATGGTGGGGGTCACTAAGGTGAATCGCCCCATTCTGCAGGAACAGCAATATACAATTTGAAGGCTCGAGATATTTCTGATTTTTATGAGGGCTTAGATCTTTATCTTGAAAAAGATAATAATGAACGCCTTGACAGATCATGCTTCTACCTTTAAATATATACCATTCGCTCAGCCTATTGTTGAGATGCGACCATGTGGGATCTGCACAGATTTATGGGGCATCTTATAAATTAACTTGCTGTCCATTGTCTGATCTTTAAATACCACTTCACAATGTCTTATCTCATTCATTTTCTAATAACGTCTTTACTTGATCCTCATTATATCCCATTAAACCTAACATTTTATAGCTCTTTATGAATTTGATTCGACTTATTCTATTCCTATTCTCTGTAGGGTACGGTTGTGCACCAAATGCACAAAAAGGCATAAAATAAAAAAAACCGGCATAAGGAAAAATGTATTAAAACCAAAAGTGGACATCATGATAGTGCAAACTGTACAGGAAGCATTATACATTGCAAATGAACGTTGTCAGCCTAGGGAGTTTCCTTTATTAATGCATTTATTAGTGATACTTGGACTTACCCATTTCATTACACTTTAATGATTCACCTTAGCACTTTTACTTTTCTAAAACAGCTTTCAATCCCTTGTAAACGTTGTACTTACCTCAATATTGGTTGGTTATCGTATGCCAACAACCACGGGATGAAAACGAAACGAAGTCGATTTTCCCGCTCAACCTGGAGGACAACTGTACAATTCAATAACTATACAGCCTGGTTCAGACAATGAGTGTATTTATATACATATCAAATATTTAACTGTTGAAACATTATTAACTTGTAGACAATCTACGATTTGATATTATATCATACTTGATCGTGCCTGTAAAAATGGCATGCATTTTCATGTAAATTTATATGTTTATATGAGAATATACATTATTATTATTATATTCTGACACCTTACCACAAGGACCGTCATCAAACCACAAAAACCTCAAGTGATCTCTGTCACTCTCTGGCACCCTCAACTGTAGGAACATTTCCTCAATATCCACCGCGACAGCAACTGTAAACTTTCTGAATCTCAATAGCAGTCCCACTAATGAGCTCACGCAATCTGGGCCACTATACAGATTATCATTTAAAGAGACTCCTTCGTGTTTCGCAGAACAATCAAACACCACACGGAGTTTACCTGGCTTCCTCGGGTTAAAGACGGGATGATGGGGCAAATACCACTTCCCTGGCTCACTCTGATCAACTAGTCTTTCAGCGTAACCCTTCATTATATGTTTATCGACGACTTCCTTATATTTGGACCAGAGTTCTGCATCTGACAGAAATTTCTTCTGTAAACCCATTAGTCTCTTAAGAGCAACTTTCCTATTACAAACCAACTGTCTATCTTTGAATCTCCATGGTAGGCCAACGCTGAAACGCCCGTTTTCGTATTTACAAGAGTCCTCGGCTATTTTAACTGCTATTAAGTCTTCTACAGAACGACCCTTCCCTGGGACACCGGAGTCACAAAACTCCTTGTCATACATATTTTTAATCATAGTCTCCAGCTTGTCCCCATCATTTGCAACTAATGATGATATGTGGACTATGGGTATAGGTCCTCTCACTGTCCATCCCAGTGGTGTTTTCGTCGCGAACAGATCATCTCTACCTCCGAATCTCTCTTCTAATACCTTATGAGCTTCTGGCACACTACATCCAATGAGTACTCTCACTCTTCCATCTTGCAGTATTGGAAGAGGTATGTCACACAGGTATGGCTTACCGACAACCGTTTCACGACTAGGTACTATAGCTTCGCAAGGTTTCATACTGGAGGTAGTGTAAGCAGTATCCACTTCCACGGTCTCCCCAGTAGCCAAGGATTCTAACTGAAATGACACTCGTTCACATACTACTGTTTTCGCAGAATTGAAAGTATTTACAACCAAGGGTTGCTTTGGGCCTTTAATACCCAAGCAACCAGCCAGTTCAGCATCTATCAATGTAACGTCTGAACCATTATCCAACAATGCATAAGTCTCTACTGAAGATTTCGGTCCTTTCACCTTAACTGGTAATACCCCTAAGAAAACTTGTGGGATGTCAAGGGGTCTAGAGGTACTATTACAATTAACCGAATTCCCAGGTTCGTTCACTGTTCTCAGAAGTGGGTGCATATCCGTTAAACCACTAATTCTTTTATTTGTTGCCTTACAATTCCACCTTGTATGCCAAATCTTTAAACAACTGAAACACAGCCGCTTCTGCTTTGCCATTTTTAACCCTTCTACGGGTGACATAGCGATAAAGCGATTACAATCACTCAATTGATGCATGTTATGGCAAACAATACACTCATCCTTTCTCGTTGTGTCTCGAGACTTCACCACAAATGCCTTCCTTATATTCACTGGCTCCTTAGGTTCTACCTTAGAATGCAAAATTCTGGAGAATTTGCCCATCGCCTGGTTGACACTGTCCTTCACCAGTCTAAGAATATCATTAAACCTTGGCTCGATACCCTCCTCTTCTATACAAGAGCTTACTTTTACCCACTTCCTTTGCAGCCGAGTAGGTAGACGTCTTGCTATTACTTCTAGTATAAAACTCGAGTTGAGGTCATTCATGCAATTCATCGAAATCAATGCATTCTTGTAAGTCAGCAAATTATCCAGAAACTCAGTGAGTGCCTGGGAGTCATCCTGTAATTGACCACCATTACCCTTAACAGCCTCGAATAATTTCCCTACAATCATCGAAGGTCTTCCAAACCTTTGACGTAGTATGCTCATAGCCTCGTAGTAGCCCTCTTTCGGCTTCATAAACTTACAGCACTGCATAGCTCTTGAAGCATCTCCAGTGCAATATCTCATCAAATACATTAACTTCAATTCATCATTTAATAAAAAACCACTTAACATGATTTCAAATTCTCTTACAAACTGTGAATAATCAGCTGGGTTCCGTCGAAACACCGTGGTTCAAATTTAGGGAATGCCTGTAAAATGGCATGCATTTTTATGTGAATTTATGTTTATATGAGAATATACATTATTATTATTATCTACGATGAAGTTGAATAGAAAAGGGGATAATAGGCATCCTTGACAGACACCACTAGTCGTCACCATTTCAGATGATAACTCACCGTAAGCCCTCACCTGGCGGCATGAGTGCGAGTAGAGTGCCTTAATCAGTGCAATGTATTTTCTCGGGATTCCCTTTACAGTCAAGTATCACCAGAGTGCCTCTCGGTCGACAGAATCGAATTCCGCCTTTAGGTCAAGAAATATAATGGTTGTTGGACGCCGGTAGGAGTGCCTATGTTCTAGAACCTCAGTTAATGCACACACTAAATTGTCTCCACCGCACTTAAATACCTCTGGAATGATTCCATCAGGTCCCGCTGCTTTGCCTTGTTTTAGATTGATGACAGCTTTAGTAACCTCAGTTAGTGACGGAGGACCTGTGTCTATATCCTATTCAGGGAGGTGTTGGATGTTCGGCAGGTTGAGCGTGGCTGTGGGCCAATTAAACTGCCACTTATAGTGCTCTTTCCAGCGTTCCAGTCGTCTATCCTGGGAGCTAATTATGGTGCCATTTTTCTCCGAGATTGTTTCACTTATCATTTGCCTTTTGCCACCTGTTTCCCTGATAAGCCTAAATAGTTGTCTCCTACGAGAAATTGGGACCAGTTTTCACAGCACCTTAGAGATATATACCCTGCATAATTCAGTTTTATTACACATGTCATAAATACATTTAAAAAAGATAATAAATGCCAATTTTCTCCTGGAAGAGTATAATTGGTAAACTCAAGGTCCTTTGACTTTGATGTCTGTTCTTTACTGTTGCCAGAAATGTCAATTACAGAATAGTGTCTTTTGTGTCTAATTGGCAACTTGAAAATTCCTGGATATAATGTTCAGGTTAATAACTGTTGGAGAAAATAATACAATTCCTAATGATAGATACTAATGTAGTTAACAAGTGTGGACGTCCACTTTTTGTTTTTTTTTGTTTTCGGAGTTGTTTAAACATTTTTTAGTAGCGTGTAATATTGGTGAAAATACTTGCCCTGCATATCTTAGTATAAATTGAAATATCATTTTAAAGTATTTCTATTTTAGCTGAACTCCCAGCTAAACGAAGACGTGGACAAATCTCATTATGGGTTCAGCTGTTAGCAATCAAGGTGTCTCCATCATTATACACACAACTAACTGAACAAAATTTAAAAAATAAGGATGTGAACACTCCTGTGCTACCATCTCATGTCCAAAAGTTACAAGAAAACAACACGACTTTTAATTTCAGTGGTACAGAAAACTGTCAGTTTGAAAACTCTTGCAGGTCAGTATCTTATAAAATGTTAAACCAGATGTTTGTTTTGTTAAATATAATTTGTAGTCAATGTCTCGGCTACGCCAAGATTCATTCTGATTGGATAATAAGCAAAGGAGTATTTGTTGCTAAGGTTTTATACAATCCGTAGCAATTTTGTGGGAAGTTGTATCAACCCTACTAAACCGGTTGCTCGTTTGACATTTGTCAGTTGTCCTTTTTTGCGATGGTGTGATATCTAATCAATTTTCAAAGAATTCTTGTTTTACACAACACTTTGCTCCATTATGCTTTATGATAATGAGACGAAGGCAGATAATATACTATTGGCGGTTTATAACCATAGGTTTCTACGTTCAGTCTCTCGTGTTAGGCGGTGCAATATGATCGTTAATAATGTTAGGCGAAGAGCGGTAGTTATGCAGTAGGAATCAATCGATAAGATTGTATAGCGGCACAGATTGTAAGGACTAGAACGTGTGTCAATGGAGTGGAAGATTGAACGATTAATTCTTGGTTGTTTACTCAAAATCAACTTCCCCAATTTTCGCGGAGGCATCAATACGACAGTCATCGTCTCATCGGCAATGGATAAAGGCACACACAGGACGTCGTTATGTGTTATCGCGATGTTGTGTTCGGGTTGTTCTACGTTGTTTTCAGTTGTTTTTTCAACTGAAATACATCATAAATACCATATTTTAACGAAAAAACTTAGAAAAATGGTGGAAAGTAGACGCCTTCAGCAGTTTGAGTGAACATGTATCTGTCATTGAATTTCGTTATTTCTTTCCATGTGGAATGTTAAAACTCTGTGTAAATTGTTGATTACGTTAAGGAAAACGATATCAATTAGGCAATTGATGCATATTTTGCGAAATTCTGAAAGGGTCTTTTGATTCTCTGAGATATGAAAACTTGGTAACACTCAGAAGAGTCTACAGCTATAAAGGAGTGTTAGTTGAATTATTCGCAAGGTAACAGTTAAGAAACAATTTTTTTAAATATTTACCTTGGTTTGGAGTATTTTCGTGTTGCTGATTATTTGTTAACGGATGTCATACTATTGTTCATTTGCAGGTTGCAACTGTAATTTACGGAGTGGTTCACTTTATTTTGAGGCTTTAATGAAGTGCAATTGAAGAATTTGCGCGTTAACTTTGGAATCTGTGTGATACTATAAAATTATTTATCGAAATAAATATCTCTTTAATGTTTTAACGGTATTCTTTAAAGAATTCACTACTACTTCCCTTTGCTTGTCGAAGGATTAGTGATGTAGCCTGTTTTGGAATGCGTAATCATTTAATTTAAAAGAATAATAATTTACGCAGCATGAGAATACTAGGATTTTCTTCAATAGGATATACCTATAACGCGTTATTTTCGATGTAGGTAGCCATCCTACATTTTTTAATCATGTATATGTAGTAATCGCAAAACAAACCTAAGCTCAACGTATATTTTTTCGCAGGCCCTGATGAAACATAATCTTTTACGCAGCCGTATTGAGTGTAACTGAAACACTTCATGGGAGGCTTGATGACGCACTGAGGAAATAATATCGGTTTACGATTATCACGCATTTCACACAAGTATTACTACGTTCCCTATCAACTTCGTTGACTCTGCAATGTCCTCAAAATGATAATAAAGAGAGATACTTGTAGTCAACATAAATGCATATATTTACAAAATAACAACAGTTAAGCAGTACATATTCACATTAAAAAGGGTGGAAAAAAAATCACAGTTTTAGATTTTTTATGGGTACATGATTGTCAAATTAAAGTCCGCTAATCGTTTTATCCACAATATGTGGATCAGTTTCCCTCAGATGATTGTGACACTGGACCCGTCTTTACAGCTTTCAGCACCACCTGATCCTTCAGAAGAAACTGCAGATCATAACCATGGTTATGATCTTTCCATGCAAAGATTGAGATTGTATTCCTTTGACCACCTCCGGTCACACTGAGAAATATCTAAGGATATATACATATCAGATTAATTAATCTTACCTCAGGTGAACAATCCCTAATCTTAGCAACAATGAATATGTGAACAAGGGGGGAACAATAGTAGAATCGGTATGAACAGTCCATATATCCCATAATAAACTTGAAGAATCCTAAAACTTCCGATTTATCTTTCACACTTTGTCTTCTGCAAAATGCAAATATCACACAAATGCCTCTACTCTCTGTCCGTTACAGTCAACTGAAAAAGACTAAATCTTCAAACTTTATACTTCTTTGATTAAGTTACCCAATAATATTCACTTTTTTATTGGGTCCACATGCATGTCACATCTGTAGAATCTATACATGCGTTAACTTGTGTCCTTAAGCTGAAAAAATGTAATGTTTATGCGACTTTTATTAGTATCATTTCAAAGCCCGCCTCAACAACGTGTGCTACGTATTAGCCGCAGCGTTTATGCAAAGTAAAATCTACCAATCACAATATGCATACATGACCTTGAAGTGCTCAGCCTCTCCATAAGGTCGTGTGTGCCTCTATCCATTGCCCGTCTCATCGGTCGTTGTTCAGAAAGAAGAAGGAAACATCGTCAGAAGTAATACAATGATTTATTGTTGTAATATTTGTTCACAGACCTTAGTTCAGTTATTCATTTTATATGTTGGTGTAACAATAAAGAAATCTCAAGCGGCAGATCGGTGTTTTGGTTTTTGCGTCCGTTATAACTAAGCGTTTGTGAAAACTTCAAGGAACAGCGTGGGCCCGAGCGTAGCGAGAGCTGGGCATTAACGGTTTATGAGACGTGGCTGACAGTTTCTGATGGTAGAAACAGACTTTGGCGGATTCAGACAGTTGGTGAAAGTTTGGATAGTCACCGTTCATCTTTCCTGGTGCCGTTCAAGTCCTCTTTGAACAAGCAATATATGGAACATTTTTGGAATTGGGTCAAGTTCAACAATGCCTGGGTCAAAGAAGGGACAGAGTGTCTTGGATGCAAACAGGAAAGTAAGTCATTGTGACTTGTCTGTTAATTGTAACGATGTGTCTGATGTTAAGCATGACATGGTTGATGTTATTGTTTCGCCGTTCAGGGATGATAGGAACATCAAACTCCCTAAATTAGAACCACGGTGTTTTGATGGAAACCCAGCTGATTATTTACAATTTGTAAAGGAGTTTGAGATCATGTTGAGTAGTTTTTTATTAAATGATGAATTGAAGTTAATGTATTTGATGAGATATTGCACTGGAGATGCTGCAAGAGCTATACAGTGCTGTACGTTTATGAAGCCGAAAGAGGGCTACTACGAGGCTATGAGCATATTACGTCAAAGGTTTGGAAGACCTTCGATGATTGCAGGGAAATTATTCGAGGCTGTTAAGGGTAATGGTGGTCAATTACAGGATGACTCCCAGGCACTCACTGAGTTTTTGGATAATTTGCTAATTTACAAGAATGCATTGATTTCGATGAATCGCATGAATGACCTTAACTCGAGTTTTATACTAGAAGTAATAGCAAGACGTCCACCTACTCGACTGCAAAGGAAGTGGGTGAAGATGAGCTCCCGTATGGAGGATGAGGGTATCGAGCCAAAGTTTGATGATATCCTGAGACTGGTAAATACTAGTGTCAATCAATCGATGAGCAAGTTCGCCAGTATATTGAATCTCACCCCTAGAATAGAGCAGTCTGAGATCAAAATGCAATCATTGATGACGAAAGGGCCTCAGAGAGGTGGATATCGAGAAGGCTCCATGATGTATAGTAATGCATATAGACCTAGTGAGTGTAACGGGTTTCGTAGTACATCCTCAACAGATAAGTTACAAGATGCAAGACAAGCACGGTTGTGTTTGACACGTTTGCAAGAGGTGCATAAAAAGGTGAACTGTGAATCAGTGAGGAAGTTCAGTGATAAGCTAAATGTAAACTCCAGGCCTGACTCCGAATTGTGTGACGATAACGGTGTTGTGAAGAAGTGTGTAGCTGCAACTGGTAAGCCATTGTTGAATAGTGTGTCACAGAATAGAGTTGCTGCTTCAGAGTCCAGTTCTGACCCTACAAGTTTACAAGGTATAACTAGTCAGAGTGAAGGTATAAAATCCTAGGGATTTGTGAGGAGGAACCAAAATTGTCTACTTCTGTTATTAAAGAGTTTGAAAATGATAAAGTTGACGGTAAATTGAATATTTGTGGTAATGATCATGATAGTGCAGCTTTGTCTTTGGTTGATCATTATGAGATGCGGGATATGCCTACTACTGCTAAGTTGAACAAAGTTTCTGTACAACTGCAACGTGAAGTAGAAATAAATGCAGGTGCAGTTTCACAAGGCATGCATACTTGTGAGGCTGTCAGTTTGACTGATCAACATGTAGCCCACCTATCATCAGATGCTAGTGCTAAACCTGAGCTGATAGTAAAAGACAGCAGTGGTGGTGGTCTTGCAGGTAGACAACTTTCTGAAAGTCGAGCAACAACAGCTTTTGATCCACCGCTAACTTCATCAACTGATATCAATCAGTCGTCGTTGGTGCTGTCATCCACAATGAAACAGACGCCCATCAACTCAAGTATCTTGTGCAATGACTATGCTAGTATCAGTTCGTTTGAAAGGACGAATATCTATGGTCAGTTTAGTGAGGATAAGCCAAGTATAAACGAGAGAGTAATTGTTAAATTGACTTGCACGAATAAAGGCATTTCTAGTTTCAAGTTACTATTTAAATGTTATTATCTTTGGTGTAAATTACTCTGTTTCTATACTTGGTTGATGAGATATGTCGTGTGTTTGCTGGTCATCTATATTCTACGATACAATGACATGGGCGAGTTGCCGTTCAGATTTGAGGATTTAGCTCATAGAAGGAAGTCAGAAAAATGAACTCTGCGACGATTTTCCAACCTAGGGCGTCAACCTGAGAAGGGTTGTAGGCGTACTGCTGTAAGTCCTACAGTTCTTCAAGGGTAGTTTGTCGTGCCAGAATCCACAACATTTGATGTGTTGATTGTACATATGTTTGTGTTAAATAATTGTGTGAGTTCCTATTGATGTAATTGTTGGTTAATCTTGTTTGTGTCCGGACATTCCACAACTTACAATCGTCAACCTGAGAAGGTTTGTAGGCGTACTGGTGTAAGTCCTGCGATTCTTCAAAGGAATT